CCAGAACACACTTTGCTGAGTTGCAATCAAAAGTTCCACGTCCTCGCAAAGGTCACGCTGAAGGATCACAAAACCAGCACAGCAGGGCTCTGGCTGCTGGACAGGCCACAGGTACCCACTTCCAAACTGGATTCCAGGTCTCCACTAAGGGATGGAAACAGTTCCTCCCTCCCCGCTGTGAGGGCTGAAGCAGAGCAGCTTCCCAGGGAGCACTGACACCCAACACCCGGAGCAAACCCCTCTCCTGGGGGGACACTCACCCTCGGCCATCCCGGAGCAGCAGAGCCCGGCAAGGCGCCTCCATGCCCAATTCCTGAGGCTCTTCCCGGCCAGGCCGTGTCCCTCCCGCTATCTGTGTGCGTGTGTGCATCGCTCCCCAGTGATGTAAACACAAAGGCATGCGGAGCAGTGGGCGAGATGTAAATCCAGCTGGAAAATCCCACAGCTCAGCCAATCTCCACGCTGCCTCCCAGCATTGCCCCGGCTGCTCCGGGAATGCTCCCGGTTCAGCTCAGTGCAGGAAAAACAACCCTCTCTGAGCACACACGGATTCATTCCCCGAGATCCGAGAAAGCTCCAGGGACGGGACAGTCCATCGCTGGCTTTAAGGGAAGTTTGGGTTTCTCTCCCTCTTTAGAAAGTTCCCAAACTATTCAGAATTCTGGATATCAAACAGCAACACGGTCTTTGCTTGGAGAGACGATCCAGGGGAATCCAGTTAACTAAGAACCACCACAAAGGCTGAGCTGGGGAGCAGGACTCACCCAAAATACAGGCACTGACAGTGGGGGACTTCTTCTGCCAGGACACCCAGCCCCACAGCTGAGGGTCTCCCAAGAGCAGGACTGCCCCACTCCAGCCCCCAGGACACCTCATTAAAAGCTGATGAAACTCTGATGAAACTCTGAGCTTGGGCTGTGCCAAAGGCAGAGCAGGAGCAGCCTAAATGTGTAATTTGGGGTGCTGCTGCCCTGGGCTCCAGGGGGACTTGCTGAGGTCCAAAGAAGGGTGACACGTACCCCTGTGAGCAACCAGCCACCTCCTTCCTTGTCCCAGCTGCCACTACATCCCTCAATCCAATCCATGGATGAGGGGATGTGCCGGTGTGTCCCTCACCATGCCCACAGCAAAGGGTCACAGGCAGGGAAGGGCAGACAAAGGGAATACAAACCAGGAGGGATGAGTTCTGACAGGCTGAACCTGCCCACGGAACCCAAGTGCTGAGGTAGTGAAACCACGAAGGATTTTCTCTCCAGTACCTTTCTCCTGGTGCAGCTGGGCTTGGCTGAGACAACCTGTGAGACAGGTACAGTCACGCTCCAGGAAATCCCACAGCCATGGCCAGCAGGGCCTGGAAGCTCCCATGGAAGAGGGTGACGAGGTGACCGATGGCTGAACCCCAACTGAGGCTACAGAGCGCTCAGCACCACTCAGGGCCACCCCCAGGGCTGCTCAGCAGCAGCTCCTGGCAGGGCAGAGCTGCCTCCAGCTCCAGCACTCAGTGCTCAGCAACACCCCAGAGCCCGGGGAGATCCCTGCAGCTCCGGTAGAATCGGGATTGTGGAGCCCCGGGAAGGGAATGTTTGCCTGCACAAAGGTTCCAGCCAGAGGGCACAAACTTCCACGTGGTGCTTCACACGTGGCTTAAGGCCCTTGAAGGCTGTGCTGCCACAGGAACAGGCAGGTGTGGGCCCACCCTGCAGAGCAGCTGGGATCCCCCAGGGATCCCTCGGATCAGGGAACCGAACTGCCTGGAAACTATGGATTGGGGGGTTTTTTCCCCTTGGGTTCAATCAATATCCTGAAAATTCCTGTTGGGGTGTTAACCAGTGAAGGTACCAGTGTTTCCTGACAGGAAACTCCACTTTGGCTCAGGTTTTCCAAAGCCACTGGGTAAAACTGAACCTCCCTCAGGGTGAAACAAATGTTCCTTCCCTCGGGGAAGTCTCACCTGCACACGAATCAAACCCCAAGACCTGAGATTTCTGGTTGGATTCACCCTGTCCCTTCCCTGCTCGAGACAGCAGTGCCCTGGGGGGACCCCAGGACATGGAGGGGGACCCAGCAGAGTGTGGACAGCTCCCTGCTCCTACAGCTTCCTGCATGACTTTAGGAAATCCCAAATTTCCCTCACCGGGGTAGGTTCAAGTTGGACATCAGGAGGAATTTCTTCATGGAAAGGGTGGTCAGGCACTGGAAGGGGCTGCTCAGGGAGGTGGTGGAGTCCCCATCCCTGGAGGTGTCCAAGGAATAACTGGATGTGGCACTCAGTGCTCTAGGCTGAGGGACAAGGTGGGGATCAGGCACGAGGGAGCTCCATGGGCTTTTCCAGCCTCCGTGATTCTGGGATTCTGTGGTCTTGTTACTTTTGCTCAGCCAGGGCTTTCTAGAATCATCCTTCAGTCCACTGCCCTCTCCTCACAAACCCTGTTGTGGCTGGAAGCTGAAATCCTGACAGACAAACACTCAGACCACAATGCAGCAGCTGCTTAGAGGAACACAACAGCTTTGTCCAGGCTGAGAACACATTGCTGGGAGGGAAATGCACAGGGAGGCAAAATTAGAGCACTGGGATTGAAACAAAGTCAAAGCAACTCTGTCAAAAGTGGAAAAAATAACCGTCAGGCCACAGTTCTTAACACAGCCTGGCCCTGGCGGGGACAACAGCCCAGACACACCAAACCTGGGTAACTCCTGTCCAGGCTCCTCTCACACTCAGCGAGGCCCCGGCAGCACCTCAGCCCTCGTCTTTGACCCCACAGGGCTCTAAAGCATCGGAACACAAAGGGAACCCGCACTCTGGGCTGCCCTGCACAGCCCCAGCACAGCCCGGATCCAGCAGGAGCAGGGACAGTGCCTGTCACCGGGAGCAGGACCCGGAGCACAGGGACACAACAACCCCCGTGCCTGCCCCGGGACCACCCCAAACACCCCCATCCTGAGCCTCGGGAGAGCACGGCACGGGGAAACGAGGGCACCGCGAGGGCAGGGGAGGACAGGCAGCGACACGTGCCGGGGTCGGACAAGGGACGGGGCAGAAAAGGGCAAAAGTGGGCAGAAAAAGGGCAAAACTGGGCAGAGTCTGCGATGAGACCCGGGAAACACACCGGGAGGGCACGCCGGGCGGAGAGCGGGGCACGGGCGGGATCCACCGGCACCGAAACAGCGCGGAGATGGCGCTCCAGCCCCTCCGAGCGCCCGCACGGCCCCGCCGGCGCCTCCGAACACACTGCCCGGGGCCGGGACCGGGCGGCGGGCACGGGGCAGCGCCGGGAGCCCCCGCGGGCGCTCCCCGGCCGTTCCCCCCAGCGGGGCCCGTCCCGCCCGGCCCTCCCCGCCCCGGCCGTACCTGGGAGCGGCGGCGGCGGCCGCAGCGCCGGTGCCCGGTGCCGGCACATCGCGGCCAGGCCTGCTCCCCGCTGCCGCCCGGCCCGGAACCGCCGCGCGCGCCGCTCCTCGGGACTTGTAGTCCCGCGCGCCGCCCGCCGCCCGCGCGGCCGCGCCGCCCGCACTACAGCTCCCGGCGGCCCCCGCGGCGCGGGCGCTCCGCGCTACAACCGCCGTCGCCACTGGCTCGGCCCGGCCTCCGGCGGTAGCCAATCAGACGGCGGCGACCACCGCCTCGGGCCACGCTGCGCAGCGCTCCGCCATTGGCGCGGGGGAGCGCGGCGGCCAATGAGCGCCGGGAGAGGCGGGACGGCAATCACGCCAACCGCTGACGATTGGCTGCGCCCGCGGCGGCCTGACCAATAGCGGCGTCGGGGAGGCTATAAAGCCCGCGGCGAGGAACGCCTGCCCTCTTTCCATGCGGAGGTGAGGAATGGCGTGGAGCGCGTTAGATCGCGCTGGAAGGGAAGGGAGCGGGGCTGGTAACGAGGGCGGGCCGCTGATGATCCATATTGACCTTTCTGACACCTCGTCTGAGGGCGGCGGGCGGCCGCGGCCCCTGCTGAGCAGCCACGGCTGAGGCCCGCGGGAGCCGCGGCGGGGCCGGGCCGGGCGGTCGGGCCCCCCCCCTCACGCGCTGCCTTCTCCCCTCAGGGCTCGGCGGGAACCGGCGGCGACGCGGGACGTCCGTGCCCGGACCGCGGCTGCTCCCGGGGCTCTGAGCCGGTCACACGCCTGTGCCGGGTGCGCTCTGTGGTGAGTGGGGCTGAGCTCCTCGGGAAACCGCTGCTGCTGTACAGCAGGGGGGTCAGGGCGGCTCTTAAAGCACAAAGGTGCGGCTGCAGAATGAGCTGGAGTACAAGAAATCGTCGACTTTCACTCTCCCACGTGGGTTAGCTCCAGGTGAATGCCCTGAGTGCGATAGTGTGGGTAACTGAAAGCATTTACACTTTTAACTCTACAGTGCATAGATCGAGAATTTAAATCTTTATTCTTCTTAGCTATGTGGACTGTAACAAGTTATTCCAGCAATGTTCTTGCCCAAGCCTCAGATCAAGTCCAGACTTGTGATTAAACTCTTTGCTGCTGTACCAGTTTTTTAGCTTGCAGATTAATAAAGTTTTCAACGACTTGTTTGGCTTTTGTCTCCATTATTCAAAAATCCCATGGGTGACATGTAAAACCACTGACTGACTTTAAACTTTATTTTTGGGCACCCAGTGGGACCAGGGTGTGTTGAAATAAACTGCAGCTCAGCCCAGCTCCCTTTCATTGGAATCTTGGAGTCACTTAGGTTAGAAAAGACCTTTAGGATCAAGTCCACCTGATCCCTCAGCACTGCCTGAGGGATCAGTGAGCCGTGTCCCCAAGTGCCACATCCACACAGCTTTTAAACCCCTCGAGGGATGGGGACTCCACCACTGCCCTGGGCAGCTGTGCCAGGGCTGGACAGCCCTTTTTTTCGGGGAAATTTCCCCTAATATCCAACCTAAATGGGTCATATCCCCTGGTGGTGGTTCAGCCATGTGGATCCAGATGGGTTCAAGGCAGGTGAACTGTTTGAGCGCTCTGTGCTGCTGTGTTTAGACAATCAAAACACTGCTGTAGCCACGGAGATTATAAAAAATTTTATTAACAGGAATGAACCCAAAGCTGTAAACAAGAGCCAGCAGAAACGAGAGCTGCGGGTGACGCCGGATGCACCGAGCAATTAACGCTGCATCAAACAATTAGTGCTGCACTGAGCAATTCCTGCAGCGTCGCGTGGGGGCAGCAAAGGCCCGTGGAAAAATCCCAAATGGCCACGTGAGGAGGAGCTCTGGGGTCACTGTGCAGGCACTGGGAGACCAGTCCTGCTTTGGGAACTGGTGACTGGGAGAGATGGGGCTGTCTGCTCAAAGCTTAGGTCTAATACCACAAATGCTGCTGTGAGGGCTCTGCTCTGGCAGAGTTTGCAACCCCACAGGTGGGTTGGAAATGCTCCAAAGGGAAACATTTACATCTTCACTATTAGTGGTCTCTAATTGGTTTTGGTCCCACAGTGAGCAGGAAGCAACCAGTTCTCAGCTTTGTCTCCCAGAAAGTGAGATGCCAATCTGAGAGGGAAAGCAGCAGCCTAAGGTAGGAATGGTGATCCATTAGTAATTCTAATTCATTAGGAATCCTGCTGCTAAATTTTGCTTTTAGGTAGACTCTCTGTCACCTTGGGATGGAGCTGCTGCTGCTCCCAGGGCAGGATGAGGAAGCAGAGGGAGGCACAGCTAAGGGCTCAGAGCTGCCTGGCTGTTCCTGCCCCACACAGAACCAAATCCCTGGGACCCAGCAAGCTCAGGGACTCTCTGAAATCCCTCTCTTCTCCTCAGGCAGCAAGTGAATGCTGCAGAGCCCAGGGTGGGACTCTAAGAAGCGTTGGGGACACCTCAGTACAGCAGCAGTGGGAGCAAAGCAAAGCTCACCCAGGCACCTGGAACAGCGAGTTCTACACATTCCTGCACAATTCCTTGCCTGAGCCCCTCTCAGAGCCTGCCCTGGGCTCTGCTACCTGCAAACAAATCTTGAGAGCACCTGCAGCAGGTAATGACACTTTTCAGGTGAAGAGAGTTGCTCCAGTTATTTTAGGGAAAGGCTGGCTGAGGAATGGACCGATGCTACTGCTCCAGTGGGAGCAGCTGTGCCAGTGCTGGCCATCCCTTGGATCTGTGGGATGCTGAGGGGGGGACATGGGGGGGCCCTGACAGCCATCCCTCACCTGCCTGCTCCTGAGAGACTGGCAGCAGGGTTTGCCAGGAACGCAAACATTCCTGCAGGAGTGGGTTTTCCGCGGATCACTTTAAAATTTAAATCAGACAGTTTTGAGACTTTTCTCTCCCTAAAAAAAAACTAGGAAAAAAAATGCTCTGTGCTCAGTAGGTTCATTTCAGGATCCTTTTTCACCCTGTGGAGCTGTAGCTGCTTATGTTGTCGCAGCTCACAGAGGAGCTCGGAGGCTCCTTGTGCCCATCAGGAAGGGGGTGCTGGAGTCAAAATTCCGAGCAAAACAAGGGGCAGGGCTGTCTGAGCCAGCTGCTGGGGGGGCTGGTGGTGGCTGGAGGGCAATGGATGGGTTACTTCCTTTCATGTGAAGTGGCCCACGAGGCTCAGCACAGCGGGGGCACCTGGTGATGTGCGCGTGGAGTTTCCAAAGGGAAAAACTGCCAAAGGCCAAACACTTCATCCAGATTCAGATTTGTACTTAGAAGTGCAGCTTGACAAAAAAAAACAGCCAAAAGCCTGACACAGACCAAAGGGGTGAGGAGGCCCTTGAAGAGAGCTGGCAGGAGTCTGCAGCCTGTAAAATCACTGCCTGCAGCTTCCCCCCAGCTCTCTGCGGCGAAAAGAAAGAGCTGCCCAAGAGAACTTTGAAGATATCAAAGCGTTGCTGCATCTGAAAACGCCATCACACTTACAGGAAGGTATTTAGAATAAGCTGCAATACATTAGATTTCTTCTCAATTAAAGTACTAGAAAGGGCAGAAGGAGGAGAACCGAAGCCTTTCCCGAAGGGATAAACATTCAGGAATCTCTGTACGCAGCCAGGTATGCAGGAGCTCATCCAGACAGACAGCCAAGCTCTGTGTTTGCAGGGAAAAGGAGAATCCCTCACCCTGGAGGTGTGTGTCACCTCACAGGGATGCACAGACAGGAGAAAGCAACTACAAAAATGTTTGCCTCAAAACACATCCTTCCCGCACACCCCAGGCCGGGGGCTGAATTCCGGGGATGCAGGGAAAGAAAGGGGGATTCAGGTGGGGAGAAGGTGTTGGTTCCCCTGCGTCGCAGCACGACTCTCACTAAGGTAACAGCAGCCTCACAGAGCGGGCACAGCTGGCCCTGGGAGGAGACCCCAGCCCAGCCCCTTCCCAGACAGATCCAGGCGGGAACACCGGTGGGACAGAGCCGAGCGCTCTCAGCGCCCACGGCCGCACTGGGGCTTGGGCAGCAGCGCCCAGCACGCGGCTGCAGCGTCCCAGAGGGCTCCTCCTGCTGCTGCTCCCATCGCCCACGGCGCAGCTCACCCTGGGGGCAGACACAGACACGACAGACAGACATGCACACACTGCCCACGGGAGCGTGGGGGGCACGGCCAGAGTCTCTGTACAAACGCGGCGTTAGGACCTGCAGCAGCCCGAGCCTCGCACTTCCTTCTTCACGTAGTCGTGGAGCTTGAATTTGGGCTCGTTGGGCAGCTTCATGGACCTGTGCTTCAGCTCCCTGTGGGAAGGGGGGACACGGTACTCCTATGCTGCCTGATTCTGGGAGAAAGGATTTTGTCTGGAAGAAGCTGGAGAGGGACTTTGAACAAGGGCCTGGAGGGACAGGACAAGGGGGAATGGCTTCCCACTGCCAGAGGGCAGGGTTAGATGGGATATTGGGAAGAAATTCTTCCCTGTGAGGGTGGTGAGGCCCTGGCACAGGTTGCCCAGAGAAGCTGCGGCTGCCCCTGGATCCCTGGAAGTGTCCAAGGCCAGGCTGGACGGGGCTTGGAGCAACCTGGGCTGGTGGAAGGTGTCCCTGCCCATGGCAGGGGGTGGGACAGGATGAGCTTTAAGGTCCCTTCCAACCCAAACCATTCCAGGATTCTGATTCCAAGCTGTCCCAGCTCAGTTGAACTCAACTTGGCCGGGACACTTCACCAAAGCTCCCCCTGATGAGACATTTGCCCTCATGTGAGAGGGCAAGTTCTTGCCAGCACAAGAGCTGAAGGTGGGAGCCAGGGCATGAAGAGGTGGGTGACAGTTCCAGCCGTTATCCCAACGGCTGCTGTGTCCCTGCAGGAGAGGTGCCCAGCACAGCTGCTGCTCCAGGCACTTACTTTGCAATGGCTGTGAACGCTAATTCCACGTTGAGGCCACTTTTTGCGCTGGTCTCCATGAAGGGCACCCCGTACTCCTGTGGGACCAGACACAGCAGCATCAGGAATGTCACCTGCCACGTTCCCAGGGGCTCCCAGGCTCTGGCCAGTGTCAGTGCCTGCCCAGGGAGCTCATACCCTGCCGTGGTGGGCAGGGAAAACTGAGCCGGGGATCACAGCTCAGGTAACTTTGAGAATAATTTTTGAGGACAAAGAAACAAGAAATGATAGTGGAATCTTAGAGAAAGAAGATGAGGAGGAAGGGGAGAGCACAACGAGGGAAGAAAAGCTAAGTGGTCCCAGGTGTATTTTGGGTCAGACTGGTCTCCAGGTGACCATTTCCTGGTGCACATCCTCAGGCACCTCACCTACCTTGGCAAGTTTCTCTCCATCTTCCCTTTTCACCACTCTGTCCTGGGCTGAATCCACCTGCAATGGGAACAGCAAAGAGCAATTTGGGGTGATTTGGAAGGTCACCAGTAGGTAACCTCCACACCCCCTTATGCCCTGCCAGGCTCCCCTGCCCATGGCTCCACCGTGGGAGGAAGAGGAGGCTCTGGGAAGGTGGGGCTGGGCTCACCTTATTTCCCAGTAACATGAGGACCACGTCCTGCTGTGCGTATTCATGGATCTCTGTCAGCCAAGCCTGGAGGGAGACAGCCAGAGAGAGGGGTTGGCAACAGCCCCAGGGGGAGGAGGAGGAGAAGGGGGAGCTGTCCCAGTCCTGGGCATGGACACCCTCTGTGGGAAACGCTGCCATCCCAAGCAGTGCCAGGGATGTTCCATGGATGAGCCCTGCAGACAAGCGGTGCCCCGGGTGCCACTGAGGGGCCCCCTGTGCCAAGCAAGCCCAGTACCTGCTCTGGCTGCTACCAGACCCCCATGTCCAAGGGTAACAGCAGCCTATCGACCCCACTGCCTGCTCTGTCTGCCCACAGGTGCCTCTAGGAATTTCACCCCAATTTCCCCTTGGTTGGGACATTCAGACTAAGCCTCCTTTTCGAGGGTAAGGCCAAGGGTTGGCTCTGGGATGTGCCCCGTGCCCGTGTCCTACACGTGCTGCCCCCACGCCGAGCACACTCATCCCAGCAGGCCCCTGAACCTGCCTCCCTGAGCCATGGGGTGGCTTCTCTGCCTTCTAATCCAGCCTAATCTAATCAAACCTGCCCTAATTCCCTGTAATCCCTGACCCCGGGGTGTGAACAGCTGCTTGCTGCCTCCCGTGCTGACACTGCACTCACAGCAAGTGCAGTGAAGTAGGATGTGACTAAGGTAGGATGTGACCCTCTCCCTGCCACATTTGGCACTAAGGTGGGGGTCAATGAGGTCTCCAATCCTGACTGGTTGGGACCCAAAGGAGCAGAGGGGAAGGAGGGAGCAGCTTGCTGGGGAAAGCTGCCCATGCTCAGGTACTGCAGCAAGTCCTGTGCCAGTGCTGTAATTACACAGGTTAATTGACCAGAGCAGTGAATCCATCACCCCTTTTATTTGCTGTGAGAGGGAAAACCTTCTCCACCTGTGCCCTACCTGTCCTTGCAAGTGCTCAGAATTCATGGAAGGGCTGGGGGTGCTGCCATACCTGGATGTTGTCAAAGGACGCTTTGTTGGTGACATCGTAGAGCAGGAGCAGAGCTGTGGAGAGAGGGACGGGGCATTAGTGCTGGCTCTGCACCGGTCCCCGTGGCAGGTCCCTGCTGGGAAATGTAGAACAAGACTAAAATCCACCACAGCAACACCTCACGCTGCTGGTGTTTGCACCTTGACACGCAGAGCCTCCTCCATCCTTGGTGGCTGCTTCCCATGGGGAAACTGCTCCGGCGATTCCTGACTCACCTGGCCTGGAGTGGCAGCTCCAGGGGCTCCCCCCAGAGCAGAGGGGGCCGTGCTTACCGTGGGCATCCCGGTAATAGGCGTGGGTGACGCTGCGGAAGCGCTCCTGCCCGGCCGTGTCCCAGATCTGGAAAGCAGACGGGAGCAGAGGGATCAGACGCGGCCAAGACCCACCAAAACCAGCCCAAACAGCACGGTGCAACCCCAGGAAGCCTCTCCAGCTTTTGCTCCCAGGGACATCGATAGGAAAAACAACAAGAGCAATAAATATGGAAGCAGCACCTCCCCGCTCCTCAGCGCGGGGACACGACGATGAGCAGCCGAGGGCTCCTGACACGGCCCTTAATCGGAAAATCCATGGATCAGATGGATGCATGGGGGCTTGCTAATGTGATTGATCAGTCTTTAATGCAGCAGGAGGTTTGCAGAGTGCCACGCTGCTGCTGGGGAGGATCCATGCTAATGGTGTTACTGAGCTCCGGGCAAAGGGTCAGGTCTCGGGGGGCTGGAGCAGCTCTGGACACAAAATCTACATTTCCCAAGGGCTGGATGCTGGCTGAGCCAGGGAATGTGGGTCCCTTCAAGGATCAACCATCCTTTGGCACTGCCAAAGCAGGAGCTGCCTGGAAAAGCTGAGCAAACCCCACGGGTGCTGCTCTGGTTTCTCTGTCTCCAGCTGCAGTCACGGAGCAGCAGGGAGGCAGCAGGGCTGGGACATGGATCACCGTGGCCAGAACAGCCCCCAGCCCTGAGCAGGCTCCCACCAAAGGGACAGAGCAGCCAAAAGGCCTGCAGGGCTGTCCTGTGGCAGGAGACACAATGGCAAAGGCTGGAGAAGGGGGACCCGTGTCGAGGGTGCTCCTCTGCTGAGGGGCTTTGCCCAGCTCTGCACAGCCAGCGGGGCGAGGGAGCTGCTCCCAGGGCCTCAGGACGTACCTGCAGCTTCACCTTCACCCCATCCACCGTCAGCACCTTGTTCTGAAAGAGAACAGAAAGGGCAGTGAGGGGTGAGCGTGGCTGTGAGGCACCCAGGACCCCAGGGAGAAACAAACACCCGGCCCCCCCATCCCGGACAGAGTTTCACCAAACCCTTGGGCTGATCCCTCTCCTGCTTTTTAAACTGGCACCCATCAGTCCCAGTGCCTGCAGAGCCGTTTGCACCATGGCCCAGCCAGAGGATCCCTCCCTTTTTCAGCACAAGCTGCATCTGTTTGGGTACCTAAACCCTGATGGTGCCACGGGTGTCTCAGGCTGGAAACCTCTGGCCATAAATTAATGAGCACCAGCATCCCACCTTAACAGCCTTCAAAAGACAGAGCCAACCACTCCAAATCCAGTCAGCAAATTAAAAATAACTCCTCCTCCTGCCTCTCGTACCTGTTTTTCTCCTGATTTCTCTCTTTTTTTTTCCCCCCTGTTTTTCTTGGTTTTAGGAAAGGTGGAAAGGAGGAGGGGAAGGGGCACGCTGGGTTCTACCCAAAACAACGGGATACTTTCTGGGGAAGGATGCCCTGGCAGAGCTGGGAGCAGTGTGGGGAGCCCACTGGTGCCCCTCCAGGGGGCTGTGCTGGACAGCGAGGGCAGGGGACAGATCCTGACCGTGTCCCAGAGCAACCACCAACCCAGCGAGCCTCACCAGGCTCTCCAAACACAAACCAAACACAATCCTACAGACCAGCGGTCCCAGGCGAGGGAGCAGAGATTAATTTGCCTGCCAGATGCACAGAAATTAGCACAGTAATCACTGGAACGTGCTGGAAATGCGGCCAGGGAACAGCGCACCAGTCGCTGCTCTGGTGATGATTTGAGTCCCATTTCCTCCAGAACTGGCATGGGGTGCTTCCCTCTCCCCAGGCACGTGGCCATGGGATGGTCAAGGCTGCCCCGACCCTGGGCTGGGCTCCCCCAGCTCAGCCCTGGCTCACCCACCTCCGACACTGGACACGCCACGAGCACCAATCCCCTCCCAGGCACACGCCGAGATCCATCCCTGCACATCCCACACTGCTCAGCACCACGGAACAGGCACCTCGGGGTGCTGGTGCCCATCCTCACCCCGCCAGGACAGTGCTGGTGAGGCTCTTCATTGATGGTTTTAACGAGGGCACAGGGAGCACCTCGCTTCCTGCACATCTACACTCGGATACGGGCGAGGAGGAGAGGGCAGGGGGAGCCGGAGCTCTGCATCCACCGTCTGCTCAGGCAGGCGCAGGGGAGACGGTCGGGGTTTATAAATACCTTCAAAGGCAGCGACTGAGACGGGGGAGCAAAGTGATTCACAGCCCAGGAGCGGTAAAAATAGGCAGCCAGGGTGTGGGGTGGGGGAGCTGGAAAGCACTCAGGAGCAGTTGGGGGCTTGGGGAGCTGCCTGGGGGCTTGGGACTCACCAAACACGGAGCTGAGCCTTTCCCAGGATGGGAAGCCAAGGCTGCTGAAGGCTTGAAGTGCCTAAAACCCAGGGTTCCCACTGCCATGAGGTGCCTCCTGGACCCTGGTTCCTCTGCCCAGGGCTCCCAGGGGAGTACAGACAAGAGCCATCCCCAGGGTGGGACTGTGTGCCACGGTGATGCTGCTGAGAGTGCCCGAGCTGCACCTTCACCCTCATCCCAGAGGAGGCACAACAGCTCTGCCCGGCCCCTGTTCTGCAGGTGAAACAGGGCGGGTTTACAATCTGCAGAAGATCCTCTCTCTGAGCTCACCTTCCCCTCGGGTCACAGAATCACAGACTGTGCTGAGCTGGAAGAGACCCACAAGGATCATCGAGTCCAACCCGTGGCACCAGCACATCCTGCAGGGTGCAGGGGCTGGGAGCCCCAGGCTCTGCACTGGCACAGCACTTCTCCAAATGCCATTCCCAGTTGGCACCAAGCAGCTGCCAATACCACCTGCCAGGGACTGTGCCAGGGCTGCCGTGCCAGGGGCTGCAGAGGAAGGAAAACACACTTCCCCACTGGCCCTGGATCTCGGCACAAGCACCTTGCAGGGGAAAAGGACACTTGGTGTGATGGATGAGGACAAGGACAGCAGGAGCTTCGTGTTAAAACCAGCACCAAAGAGGTGCCCTTCCCCAGGGCAACACCAGCAGGTCCAGCCCAGAGCAGTGTGAGGCTGTGCCCGGGGACATGGCCACGTCCCCAGGGTGGCCCAAGCCCTGAGCACGGACCATCTGAGCCAAAGCCACCTTGAAGCATCTGGTAAGCAGCTGAAAAAGGTGAAGCTCCAAAGCTGCCCTTCATGCACTGACCTGCACTTCAGGAGTTAATTAACACGGAGCCGGCAGCAGCAGGAGTGACACTAATTACGGCTGACCTACATTTTAGGGGGGGAAATGCTTAGACCTAATTAAAGTCTGCACATGGATCCGGGTGCTGCTGGACCAGGCTGGGGAAAAAAATGGATTTCCTGGGGTTTGGGTGTGGAACAGAGCGGGTTTCCAGGGCAAGGAGCTACAGAAATGCTCCTGCAGGCAGGAGACACAGCCAGAGCCACCCAGAGCATCACCCCTGCTGCCACCCCTGCCTGCATCCCAGAGACATTTGCCAAGAGAAACTGTGGCTGCCCCACCCCTGGAAGTGTTCAAGCCCAGGCTGGACAGGGCTTGGAGCAACTTGGTCTAGTGGAAGGTGTCCCTGCCCATGGCAGGGAGGTGGATTAAGGTCTCTTCCAACCCAAACCATTCCAGGATTCTGAGACCCCTGGCTGCCCCCAGGCACAAGGTCGCTGCAAAACACAGGTGAAGAAGGCAAGCAGAAGGAGGAGCAGGATGGGAAAAGGCAGGAGCTGGAGTGGGAAAGGGCAGGAGCTGCTGCCAGCAGCACAAACTGGCGTGGTTCAGATGAACCAGATGCTCAAGTCTCCCCCCATACCATGGCTAAAAGACTTTCCAGCTTCCAATTATTATTATTATTTTTTTAAGGAGCTGCCTCAATTCCCTCCTGACAGCCTTTCCAAGGCACAGCTGGGGGCTGAGCTACTAATAAGCATCCAAAGACAAAAGATGACGTGTGTCAATGCACTGAGACGTGAAATGTGCTGCCAGCCCTGCGGGCAGTGGGAGGGTTTGTGGTGCTCAGGGCTCGTTCCTCATCTCACACAGTTTGTTATAACAGAGGTAACACTCCCAGCAGCCTCCTGCCACGCAAATTCGGGCAGGAAAATCATCCCTGCGACTCAGCTCTGCTGTTGCCCTTCCCAATTTCAGATTTTAATGTGTCCTTTTTCCTGGGGCGGTGACAACGTTATTAAAATCTCGTCTAGCAGGGGCTGCAGTGGAATGCCTGGAGTGCCTGGGCTGGAGGAACACGAGGCTCCAAAGTTAAATAATCCTCGGGATGTCAGATAAACAAAAGTTGGAACCTTGCAGATGTAGGAAAAATTAAATTACCAAGTGCAGATGGTCCTCAATTAAGAGCAGCATTATCGACACGCCGAGGCCCCGCCGGCTGCAGCCCTGGCACGATCCCACCCCCTGATCCCACCCCCTGATCCCACCCCCTGCCCGGGAGCAGCCGTTTGGAAGCAGAAAGGATGGAGGAGAAGGGGATGGAGCAAAACCACATTCCCCGAAACAGGCACCCTGCAGCAGATGCTCCCACCTAAACCAAGGTGCTGCTGCTGCCCTGCTCTGCCCTCGGGGCAGCTGCAGGATGGGGAAATGCCATTGCCCTGGTCCACAGGGTCCCCACGGTCCGGGTGAAGCCCACTGGGAGCGACCAGCACATCCCAGCCCATCCACAGGTCCCTGAGCCCACGCCAGGGAAGGCTGCAGCACCACCCAGGGTCACAATCACAGACAACCCGGCCTCCCCCAGCTTTTCCACACATTAACTCATTAGGCAAAGCCCTAAAAGTTAAATTGGAAACATGGATTAATTTGCTTCACAATTAAGTGGACTAATGGGAGCTGCTCACTGACACCACTCAGGCTCCAACCAGGGGAGCCCCAACCCTGGCTCCCCAGAGCCTCTGGTGGGTGTTGGCTCCAGGAGCTGCCCAGGAGCACCCACCATCACCCACCCACCCCAGCACCCCCCTGTGCCGGGGGCTCCACTTTTACCATGGAAAAGAAACCTCTCAAATGTCATTACTGGGCCTTGGAGGCAGCTCCTGCGGCCAAGTGGGGGAGGATTCCTGCCAAAATGGGAACAAATGGCTTCAGTGACTATAGATCAAACCAGGCGCCGGGCAGCAGCCGAGTTAATTAGTGGCAGTAATGAGCTGTGGGACTGACAGTGCAGCCACCCAGAAATGTCATTAGGTTGTGGTGTCACCCGGGGCAGGTGGCTGCCTGGTCCCCATCACCACTCGGGGGTGGGTGGTAGGCTGGGTTATCCTTTATTCCAGGAAGCCAGGAGGAACCCAGCAGCAGCAAAGTGGCTGAAGGGACGCTGGAGCACCCCAGCCCTGTGCCAAGGCAGGACCTGGATCCAAATTCCCCTGCGAGCACAAACGCTCCTGTGCCAGGAGGAAATGGGATGAGTTGTGATGGGGCTGTAGCAGACACACAAATAACCACCACCTCCAACAGCGGCTGCAAAAATAGATTAAGGATCAATATGGAAACCTGCCCAAAACAGCAGGACACTGCATTAAATTTGCTCGTTAAAACCCCGAGGTTTTCCCACACATGCGCGTGCGGCTGCCAGGGAGTTGGTCCTTGTGGCTCAGCATCTCCCCAGGCACAGCACCGGGCTCAGGGACATCCCGGCCCTTTGCCAAGGCCAGGGATCAAGGAGCATCCCCCCCTTTGCCCCCTCAGTACAAACAGTGCTCCAATGCTGGTCCCTCCAAACTCAAGCCACGCTCATTCCACCTGGACATGGGGCAGCGGGTCTGGCACTGCCTGGCCATGCAGAGCCTCCATGGAAAACACAGCCAGCCCACCACTCCAGCCTGGGGAAAACTCTTTCAGGAGCACATTCCCTGCCAGAGAGCAAAGGGAACAGCCTGGAGCCTGCTGGGAACAGGGAGAGTGGGGT